AATAAGTAAGGACACTAAAGCTCTAAATAAGGATCTAGAGCTCATGGGCTTAACAGGCATCTATAGAACACTAAACCCCAAAAAATTTGAGTACACATTTTTCTCAAGCACACACAGATCATTCTCCAGGATCGATCACATACTGGGACACAAGACAAACATCAACAGGTCCACCAAGACTGAAATCATACCAACCATCTTCTCTGACCACGAAGGCATCAAACTAGAAATAAATCATAAAAAGAAGGCAAGGAACTCTCCTACCTCATGGAGATTGAAACCCACACTACTGGAAGACCAATGGACTAATGAGGATATCAAAGAAGAAATTAAAAAATACTTTGAATCAAATGACAAGGAGGGCACCAATTTTCTAAATGTATGGGATGCAGCAAAAGCAGTAATAAGAGCAAAATACATAGCAATAGAGGTTAACATCAAGAAACAAGAAAGAACTCAAAGAAACAACGTAATCTCAAAGCTCAAAGAACTAGATAAAGAACCAACCACAAAACCCCAAAACCAGTAGAAGAAAAGAAATAATAAAAAATCAAAGCAGAAATAAATGAAATCAAATCTAAAAAAAATCCAAAGGATCAATGAAACCAAAAGCTGGTTCTTCGAAAAAATAAATAAAATAGACAAAGCCCTAGCCAGGCTCACAAAGGAAAAATGGGAGAAAGCACAAACAAATAGGATCACAAATGAGAAAGGAGAAATCACAAAAGACACAGCAGAAATCAAAAGAGTAATCGGAAAATACTATCAAGAGTTATATGCGAAAAAGTTCAACAATCTAGAAGAGACAGACAATTTCCTACAACTCTACAATCACTCAAAGCTAGATAAAGAAGAAATAGAACACCTAAACAGACTAATTACAAGCAGCGAAACTGAAATGGTAATCAAAAACCTTTCCAAAAACAAAAGCACAGGATCTGATGGATTTACAAATGAATTCTACCAAACGCTGAAAACGAATTGGTGCCTATCCTTCACAAACTCTTTCAAAAAATTGAGAAGGAGGGCCTCCCCGATGGCGCAGCGGTTGAGCGCTGGGTTGTGAAGCTGCCCGCAGCCTCTGCAGCACTGGTTCGATCCCCGGCTTCTCCCTGGCCACTAGAGGAGGGTCCCTCATGGCGCGCAGACCTCTCCTGCCGCCCGCTGCTCCCCTCAGCAGTGTATTTCAGTCCTTCTGCCTGCTCTGCTCCCCGCTCTGGCTCTGGTGAATTCTCTCACCCTCCCGTGCTTCTGACTGTACCCAGTGCTTGTATAAATAAATAAACAAACAAACAAACAAACAAATAAATAAATAAATCTTTTAAAAAAATTGAGAAGGAATGGATAATACCAAACACGCTCTATGAAGCCAACATTACACTAATACCAAAACCAAACAAGGACAAAACAAAAAAGAAAACTACAGGCCAATCTCTCTAATGAACACAGATGCAAAAATCCTCAATAAAATTTTAGCTATCAGAATCCAACAATGTATCCACACGATAATTCACCACAACCAAGTAGGATTTATTCCAGGGACACAAGGATGGTTCAACATCTGAAAATCAATCAATGTTATCCAACAACAACAACAAAAAAATGTTATCCAACAAATCAACAAAAAGAAATATAAAAACCACATGATATTATCAATAGATGCCAAGAAAGCTTTCGACAAAGTAAAACACCCATTTATGATAAAGGCCCTTGAAATTCTTTGGATACAAGGAACATACCTCAACATCATAAAGGCCATATGTGACAAGCCCATAGCCAGTATCATTCTCAATGGCAAAAGCTGAAAGCATTTCCATTAAGATCTGGAACAAGACAAGGATGTCCACTCTCACCACTGCTTTTCAATATAATACTGGAAGTCCTAGCCAGAGCAGTAAAACAAGAGAAAGACATATAAGGAATTAAAATAGGGAAGAAAGAAGTTAAATATCACTATTCGCAGATGATATATATATACATACAGAACCCCAAAAACACCACAGAAAAACTAATTAAACTAATCAATCAGTTTAGTAAAGTGGCAGTATACAAAATCAACATGCAAAAATCAGTAGCCTTACTATACACAAACGATAAATCTGAAGAAATAAAAAAAAAATCCCTTTTATTATCGAAACAAAAAAAAATCAAATACTTGGGAATAAGCTAACAAAAGAGGTAAAGGACCTATACAAAAAAAAAAAAAAAAAAAAAACTACAAAACACTGTTAAAAGAAATAGAAGAAAACACAAGAAATGGAAAGACATCCCCTGCTCATGGATTGGAAGAATTAACATTATCAAAATGGCCATCCTACCAAAAGCAATTTACAGATTCAATGCTATTCCAATAAAAATTTCAATGACATTCTTCAAAGAAATAGAACAGTTATTGGGCCTCCCCGGTGGCGCAGTGGTTAAGCGCTGGTTTGTGAAGCTGCCCGCAGCCTCTACAGTGTCGGTTCGATCCCCAGTTGCTCCCTGGCCACTGGAGGAGGGTCCCGCATGGTGCGCAGACCTCTTCTGCCACCCGCTGCTCCCCTTAGCAGTGTACTTCGGTCTTTCTGCCTGCTCTGCTCCCTGCTCTGGCTCTGGTGAATTCTCTCACCCTCCTGCACTTCTGACTGTACCCAGTGCTTGTATAAATAAATAAATAAATCTTTAAAAAAAAAGAGACAATAACAAAAAAAAAAGAAAGCCCACTGACTAGGAGAAAATTTTTGCACATAACACTAATGATAAAGGGCTGATCACAAAAATCTACAAAGAGCTGATGAGACTCAACAAAAACTAAGAAAATAATCCAGTCAAAAAATGGGCAGAAGAGCTAAAAAGAAACTTCTCCAAAGAGGAAATGCAAATGGCCAACAGGCATATGAAAAAATGTTCAACATCACTTGCAATCAGGGAAATGCAAATCAAAACTACCATGAGATACCATCTCACACCAGTGAGAATGGCACATATTAAAAAAACTAGCAACAACAAATGTTGGCGAGGATATGGAGAAAAAGGAACTCTCCTGCACTGCTGGTGGGAGTGCAAACTGGTCCAACCACGATGGAGAGCTGTGTGGAGATTTCTGGATCTACTAAACATAGAGCTTCCATATGATCCAGCAATTCCATTCTTAGGTATTTACCCAAAGGACACAGAAACATTAATTCCAAAGGACACCTGCACCCCTATGTTTATAGCAGCACTATTTACAATAGCTAAGCTATGAAAACAACCCAAATGTCCAAAAATAGATGACTGGATCAAGAAGATGTGGTACATATACACTGTGGAATATTACTCAGCATTCAAAAAGGTAAACACATGCAGTTTGCAGCAACATGGATGGAGCAAGAAGGGATCATGCTCAGCGAAGTAAGTCAGAAAGAAAAAGAAAAATACCAGATGGTCTCTCTCATAGCAGGAATTTAGAAAACCTAAATAAGGGACCAGGAAAAAGACTAATTAATACAAAGTGAAAATCAAAATCAATAAGCAACTATCGTCCAGAGACACACTGTGGGGGGGGGGAAAGATTAGGGTCAAAATAAGGGGGGGGTGCAATTGTATGGGGAATATAACTAAAATGAAAATGCATACATTGTGCAAAAATGAATAATAATGTAAGAATTATATAAAATATTAAAAAAAAAACAATTATACTAGCAATAAGAGGGATCTCCTAACTTCACACCTCAAGGAATCAGAAAAAGACCATTTAAACTCCATATTAACAGAAAGGAGGACACTCAGGGCATCCCCGGTGGCACAGTGGGTTGAGGGCAGAGCACTGAGTGCAGCACTGTGAAGCTGTCCGCAGCCTCTGCAGCACGGGTTCAATTCCTGGCCGTCCAGGGAGATTCTCACATGGCGCAGCAGACCTCTCATGACTTGCCCGCTGCTCCCCTCAGCCGCGCGCTTTGGTCCTTCTGCCTGTTCTGCTCCCTGCTCTGACTGGTGAATTCTCTCACCCTATCGCACCTCTGGCCTGTACCCCAGTGCTTGTATAAATAAATCAATCTTAAAAAAAAAAAAAAAAGTTTAAAAAAAATTTTTAAAAAGTTTACCAAAAAAAAGAAAGAAAACAGGAGGACACTTAAAAATTGTTAAGAAGGGGCCTCCTCAGTGGCGCAGCAGTTGAGGCCTCTGCGGTGCTGGTTCGATCCCCGGCTGCTCCCCGGCCACCAGAGGAGGGTCCCACGTGGCGCGCAGACCTCTCCTGCCACCCGCTGCTCCCCTCAGCAGTGTGCTTCGGTCCTTCTGCCTGCTGTGCTCCCTGCTCTGGCTCTGGTGAATTCTCTCACCCTCCCGTGCTTCTGACTGTACCCAGTGCTTGTATAAACAAAACAAAAAACAAATAAATAAATAAATAAACATGCCTCTATTAAAAAAAAAATTGTTAAGAAAGCAGCATTCTGTCTGCCCACCCATGACTGTGCAGGTGCTTCTTTTCACCAACTCTTTCCCTCTGCTGGGCAGCAGCCTCCTGCCTACGTGACCTGTGCCTGCTGGGGTTTCTTACTGAACTCCCTCAGTGGAGGCCACTCTCCTCAAGGCCGCCCGCCTGCAAACATGCAGGCCTCTCTCAGCAAAGCTGCGTCTTTGGGGCAGTTCATCTTGCCTGCTTGTGTCTATGCAAGTGTCCTTTATTCTTCTGTCCCTTTTCCTACTAAATCTGTTCTTTAAATATAAAAAAAATTAATAAGAAATACACAAATGTAACCTCATGCCCAAAAAGTAGGAGCTTCTTATTAAAAGATTAAGTCTGGATTTTGAAAGAGCAACAAAATGGACAAAACCTCAGTTCAAGTTAGTGAGAAGGAAAGGCAGAGGACTCAAGTGTCAGAGAGGAGACGCCCCCAGGGAGAGCAAGACTAAGACTCCAAGACAAAAGAGGAGCATGTCTGCAACCCCTGAAACAGAGCTTCCCAGACATTTAGGATGCTGGCCTGTTGACCACTGCACCTCCCAGCTGCGGCCTCTGCCTGATTCATTCCACCTACCTGAGAGGAGGACGGGATCTGCACTTCTCTTCACATCCCAGGGCTCCATCCTTTGCTCCAACAAGACAACCAGGTCGGGCTTAGACACAGCAAGACCTGTTTATTAGGACAGGTGATATGAGATGGCCTAAAGATTCTCAAATTCCCAATGCAGTCTTGTACTCAATAGAGAGGACTATATAGAAGGTTCTAGAGAAGGATCACCGAAAATACTTTTTCTGACAGCACCTTTACTACAAATCATCCATTCATTTATTTTATTTACTTTTTTTTTAAAGATTTATTTTTATTTATTTATACAAGCACTGGGTATAGTCAGAAACACGGGAGGGTGAGAGAATTCACCAGAGCCAGAGCGGGGAGCAGAGCAGGCAGAAGGACCAAAGTACACTGCTGAGGGGAGCAGCGGGCGGCAGGAGAGGTCTGTGCGCCATGTGGGACCCTCTTCCGGTATCTGGGGAGCAGCCGGGGATCTAACCGGAGCTATAGAGGCTGCGGGCAGCTTCGCAACCCAGCGCTCAACCACTGTGCCACCGGGAGGCCCAATTTTATTTATTTACTTTTAAAGATTTCTTTTTATGCAAGAACCAGGGTACAGGCCAGATGTGCGGGAGGGTGAGAGGATTCACCAGAGACAGAGTAGGGAGCAGAGCACACAACTGGCAAAACACACTGCTGAGGGCAGCAGCAGGTGAGACAGGAGGGGTCTGCAGCGCCATGTGGGAATCTCCCTGGCCAGATGGGAACCAAACCAGTGCTGCAGAGGCTGCGAACAGCTCCACAGAGTGGCACTCAACCGGCTGTGCCACCAGGGAGGCCCCTAATAAAAATCATTTAAATTTTCATATCCTGAGAACCATTTCTAGACCTCTGAGTCCTAGAAAGTGTGGAAGCTGGGGTCTTAGGTGGAAGCAATACCCTTAAGGCACTGAATTTCTTGAATGAGCACTGAGAGAGAGCAGGCTGCAGATCACCCTAAGAGAACAGAAGTTTAAGTCATGATCAAACAGCATGAGACTTTCTTTCCAACAAACCCACACTGTTTTTCTTAAAAGCAGGGATGTAAATGTAGCCTACAAATCTGGACATCCCAGGAGCACGCCCACACACATAACAGGAAACGGTGAGGGCAGATGAGGAAATCTGGAGGGATATTCTCCTCACCCAAGGACGCCAGGTTCCTGTAGGTCTCGAACATCACGTCCCAGTACAATTTCCACTGTGCTGGGTCCAGGCAGTCCTGCTCCTCCTCCGAGAATTCTATGGCCACATCTCTGAAAGTCAAGGGTTCCTGAAATCAAAATACACAGTTACTATGGGGCCACTAGTAGAGCTCTAAATTGGACAAGAGGTAAAGAGAGTTAAAAGGGGCCCCATGGTGGCACAAAGGGCTCAGTCTCAGCACTATGAAGCTATGGCAGCCACTGAGCATGAGTTGCACACCCAGCCAGGGAGCTACCCACAGGGTGCAGCAGACCTCTCCTGTCTCACCTGCTACTCCCCTCAGCAGTGGATTTCAGAAGATCCACCCATTCAGCCCCCCACCCTGTCTCTGGAGAGTCCTCTCAGCCCCTTGGCCCACACACCTCTGGCGCATACACCAGCTCTTGTATGTGTAAATAAATTAAATCTTAAAAAAAAAGAGGGCCTCCCTGATGGTGCAAGGGATTGTGCACAGCCTGTGAAGCCATCTGCAGGCATCACAGTGGTAGTTTGATCCCCAGCCAGGGGATCCTGACTTGCCCGCTGCTCCCCTAAGCAGTTTATTTCACTCAGTCTGCCTGTTCTGCTCCCTACTCTGTCTCTGGTGAATGCTCTCAACCCCCACCCCTCTGGCCTGTACCCGGGTTCTTTCTTTCTTTTATTTTTTTTTTAGATTTTTTTTTAATTTTATTTATTTATACAAGCACTGGGTACAGTCAGAAGCGTGGGAGAGTGAGAGAATTCACCAGAGCCAGAGCGGAGAGCACAGCAGAGCAGGCAGACTGACGAAGTACACTGCTGAGGGGAGCAGCAGGCGGCAGGAGAGGTCTGTGCGCCAGGTGGGACCCTCGCCCGGTGGCTGGGGATCGAACCAGCGTTGCAGAAGGCGCGGGCAGCTTCGCAAACCAGTGCTCAACCGCTGCGCCACCGGGGAGGCCCTGTACCCAGGTTCTTATTTGCATAAGTAAATCAATCTTTAAAGAAAAAAAGAGACATGGTTCTGAGGGAGAATGTCTTTATGCAGTAAGTTCCATGTTTACACCCTAAGAGTGCAATGCACCCACCAAGCACAGAGGATCACATACACCCACGAAAACACTTTGACGTTATAATTTCAGTGATGTCAAATCTGACCCAAAGGCAACATTTGTACAGCAAGGACACAGGACAATGGAGAAAAATCATAGTAGAAACTGAGGTGAAAGACTGGCAGGAAATTGTAGGTTATGATGGAATAATAAGCAAAGCAATGATAATCATATTTGAACATTTAGTGTCCTAGACGCCATTCCTGCAGCTTTTATTAGATTCATATATGAACCAGATAGTACTCTCCAAGCTTAATAATACATTTTATCTTTTACAATGAACATTTCCTCAAACATCCGCAAAATTAGAGACCTGGGTTTTCCCTGCAGATCTGAGCTAAAATGGATCAGAGAGGACCCTAAACAAATGGACACAGCAGGTTGTGCAGCCGATAAGAATGGAAACTAGTTAAAAAAGGGAAAGACACAGGACACAGTATATAACATGACCTTTTCAAGTAATAAACATGGGGACCACATAGACACAAAATTGATGAATGTAGTCATGTCAACGAATTCAAGATTATTTCAAACAGTATGAAGGAAACCAAGCTTTGGTGATACTTTCTGCATATTTCATATCCACAGTGTAGACAAACATACAACATGGAACCCATTGTAATAAGAACTACCGTGTTTGAGTGTAACTTCTCAAAAAAAATGTTACATAATATATTGAACCATTTCATAGTTTTATAAGGGTTGAATATGATAAATTTTTTTGTTTCTTTTTCTGGAAGTATAAACAAGTTATGCTGAGAATGTGTGTGAAATGACTGGCATTTCCATTGACATTCACACCAAAAAGACTGAAATAACTCATTATTTCATTAAAGTTAAAGAAGGAGGTAAAGGACGTGACCCCTGAAAATTATAAGACTATTTTTTTAAGGATTTTATTTATTTATACAAGAACTGGGGTACAGGCCAGAGGCATGGGAGGGTGAGCGGATTCACCAGAGACAGAGCAGGGAGCAGAACAGGCAGACAACCAAAATACACTGCTGAGGAGAGCAGCAGGCGTGACAGGAGAGGTCTGCTGTGCCATGTGGGTAGCTCCCTGGCCGCCCGGGAATCGAACCAGTGCTGCAGGTTGCTTCATAGCTCTGAGGTCAACCTGCTACGCCACCAGGGACATAAAATTATAATAATCTATTAAAGGAAATCAAAGACAGAGAAATAGAAAGATGTCCTGTGCTCCTAGGTAGGAAGAATTAACATCATAAATTACCTTATTGCCCAGAGCAATTTACAAATTGAATGCAATACCTACTCAAATAACAAGGACTTCTTTTTGTCAGGAAATAGAACAATTACCACAGTTATATGAACTCAAAGAAGGTCCCAAATAGCTAAAATATCTTGAGAAAAAAGAAGAAAATATAAGTATCACACTTCCTGACTTCAAAATATATTAAACACAATAGTAACCAAAACAGTATTGGCCTGAAACACAACCAGAAGACAACTGAAAACCCAGAGAGCAAATCATACCAACACAGCTCATCTCTGACAGAGCAGCTGAAGTCACACAATGGAAACAAGACAGCTTCTTAAACAAATGGTGCTGGGAGGGGGCCTCCCTTGTGGCCTAGGGGTTAACACTAAGAAATATGAGCACTACCCCATGGCAGGGAGCAGATCATGTAGCACAGCTGACCTCTCCTGTCTCCCCAATTTCTCCCCTCAGCGGTGTATTTCAGTAGATCTGCCAGTTCTGCTCCCCACTGTCTCTGGTGAGTCCTCTCAACCCCTTCATGTCTGGTCACAGGCCAGTTCTTCTATGCATAAATAAGTACATAAATACAGCTTCAGAAGAATAAATGGTGCTGGGAAACATGGAGAGCCTCTTGCAAAAATAAGAACCAAGACCCATACCAAACTCGATACGCAAAATGAATTCCAAATGGATTTGATGTTTGGACATAAGAGCCCTAGCCATGAATTACTGACAGAAAACAAGGGACATGTGACAGGATGGGTGGGTGCTACAAACTGTACCAGGGAACACAACCCCAACACCAAGGGAAACAAAAGCAGAAATCAGCTCATGGGACAACACCAAACCTAAAAGCTTTTGTACCTCAAAAGAAACCAGCACAAAAGCAGAAAGGCAGTCTACAGAATAGAAAAAAAATCTGCAGGCCACACATCTCACTAGGGGTTCATTTCCAAACAATCTGAGAAACCAACAATGACCCAATTAAAAATTGGCAAAGGAACTACATAAACAGTCCTCTAAAGAGGAAAAAGGAGCACCCATGGCTGGTGGCCATGAGAGTTGGACAGTCCCTGTGGAAAACGGTGCAGAGGTTTCTTAAGGAAATAAAAATGGAAATTCCACATAATCAGCAATACTTCTGTAAGTTATATATTGAAAAGTGAAATCTCAAATACAAAAAGATTTATCTACAACCGTTAGCAGAGCAGCTCTGTTCCCAACTGCCCACTCATGGCCCAACCTACATCCCTTTAACAGAGGCAGGGACGGGAAGGGTGGAGCACACGCAGGGGAGCACTGCAGGCCCAGGAGGGAAGAGCAAGGGGTGGCCCTGAGGACAAAATTGGTGGACCGGGTCATGATTCCCTGGAGTAAAATAAGTCAAAAGTAAAGACACATATATTAGATGGCTTCACTCAACTATGGAACATAAACACCCAAAATAGGGCCTCCCTGGTGGCGCAAGGGGTTAAGACGCAACCTATGAAGCCATCCCCAGTCACTGAAGCACCAGTTTGATCCCTGGCCAGGGAGCAACCCACAGGGCACCGCAGACCTCTCCTGTCTCCCCACTGCTCCCCTCAGCAGTGGATTTCAGTCAGTCTGCCTTTTCTGCTCCCCACTCTGTCTCTGGTGAATCCTCTTACGCCCGCACCTCTGGCCTGTACCCCAGTTCTTGTGTGCATAAATAAATAAATCTTTAAAGAACAAATAAATAGCCAAAATACATTTACAGGCAAAATACTGTAGGCATAAAAATTGAAGGAGGCAAAAAGAAGACAAAGGTTACCACCCTCGGGAAGAAGGAAAGGGTGGAGAAGGGAAGGGGCAGAGGGGGATGGGCCAGGGTGGGGCCAGGGGAAAAAAAGGATAGGGAAAAGCCCATTTGGAATATACGAGAAAATTGACCACTATTTCAGCAGAAGGCTTTCAGTGCCACACATGTGAAGACAGACTGAGGAGGCCAAAAATAAGTAAAAGAAGTAAACATGCAAACAAGTACAGGAAGGTTTAAGACAATTAAAAAGTAACTGAAATTTTCCCAAGGTCATACATAGTATTGTCAAATACGGCAGGAAAATTGGATAAGGCCAAGGCTAGAGAAGTGTAACTGCACTTGAGAACATCTTAGGGTACAGGTGATCTTCACTAGAAATGTATTCAGACTACACCAAGGTAAAATGCAAAGAACAGCCTGCTGGGCACCTGGGGTTTGCAGACCCCCTGAGAGAAGAGCAGGGACAGGGATGTAAGGACGCCCCATTGGACTCAAGGTCACACGTGCCAAGACTGACGCCTGCATGAAAGTCTCCGAGAGTGGCCTGGGACACAGGATAGGATTTCAGCAACTGCACAGAAGCCTTAAAAATTCAGTTGTCCTTTTCAAATGACATGTGGCTCCTTCACCCCCACCTGCACTCGGGTCCTCAGGCCCATCCTCCTCCTCCTCCCTCACCCCGCACCTGAGCAGCGCAGAGCTGGGAAGTGTTTCTGTCCAGCGGGGTGAAGAGCCACAGTCCACACCATCAGCTACGTCAAAGGAGACCCAGGTTCAGACTCTGCTCTACAAGAGCTCAGGCCCCAGGACACCCAGCACAGTGCCCCCCAGGGGTCCCTTCTCATCAGGGGACAAGTGTCTCACTATCTGACATGGCCTCAGGGCAGAGCCCAATCTCCACAAATGTTGGACATGTGATTTGCCAGGATCTACATGACACCTGTCTTGTTGATGCAGGGGTCCTTGGAGAAAACTTTACATGTTTCTACTTTTACATTTCAGTTGATGAACTCTCAAAAAGTGTGTAAAGTCAATGTACCACAAGCTAAAGCAAACACATCACTCACCAGAGATTTCTTCATTGTCTGCTGCTCTCACAGATGCCTGAGGGCTGTGGGGCTGGAGCTGGAGAGGGGATGGAGTCCCACAGGAGAGGACTAAGGCTGCTGCTCCTGGAGTCTCCTGTCCAGAGCGCCCCACACTGCATGGGAGAGACCAGAGAGTCACTGCGTGTGACAGCAGTGTTCACACTTTTAGAAGGGGCACGAAAGGACCCACAAGTCCATAACTGGTAGAATGGGTTTACAATTTACTGTACCTTTTTTTTAATTTGTTTATGCATATAAGCACTGGGGTACAGTTAGAGGCGCAGGAGAGTGAGAGAATTCACCAGAGTCAGAGCGGGGAACAGAACAGACAGACAGACAGACCTAAGACATTGCTGAGGGGAGCAGCGGGTGAGACAGGAGAGTTCTGCTGCTCCATGTGGGTTTCTCCCTGGCAGATCGGGAATCCAACCCCGCACTGCAGAGGCTGTGAACAATGAAAACCAATACTTTCTACTGATTCATTGTTCACACAAAGAACAAAAGTTTCAAAGCTGGGCCTCCCTGGTGGCGCAAGGAGTTAAGCACCACACTACGGAGCAGTCCCCAGCCTCTGCAGCACCAGTTCGACCCCGGCCAGGAGCTACCCACATGGCGCAGCAGACCTCTCCTGTCTCCCAGCTGCTCCCCTCAGCAGTGTATTTCGTCAACCTGTTCTGCTCCCCACTCTGTCTCTGGTGAATCCTCTCACCAGCCCCCACGCCCCGCACACACACCCCTTTGGCCTGTACCACAGCTCTTGTATACTAAATAAATAAATCTAAAAAAAAAATGTACCTAATGAACTATTTTGCTAGGAGACTCCCAGAGGTGGGCGGGAGAGCCCGCCTCCCCGCCATCTTTTCTGTGGAACCCCGACTCCCCCCCTCCCACACACACAGCGAGTAGATCTGTCCTGGGGTGTTGCCCCTGCGCACAGGTGGAAACGCGCTTCCCCAGGCTCCAGCCTTGCAGGACCTCGTCCCCGCCCCCCCAGGGAAGACCCTGGGGCAGCGTCCGTCCGGGGACACGGCCCTGCGCCGCGCCGGGAAGCCCCCAGAAAGGCCGCGACGTTCTCCCCAACCAGCCTCAGCCAGGCCGCGGCTCCCCTCAGCCTCCGTGCCCAGGCACACCGCGTCGGCGACAGGAAAGGCCCCAAAAGCAGAACACCCACGTCCAACAGCTGAGGGGCCGCAAATCTGGGGGGTCGTCACAAGCAAGAACTCAGCGACGCTGTGGCCCGCACCCCGCGTTCCTAACGATCCACGGGGCGAGGCATCTAAAACCCCACCACACACTCCCCGCCCGGCGTCACCCTCAGAGCCCGGCGGGGCGCCCCGCGTCCAGGAGGTCTCCCCCGCGCCCGCCCTCAGGACTCACTCGACGCTCCCACCCCGAACGTAGGGCGCCCCCCAAACCCTCCCCCCGTCTCCCCACCCCGCGTGCCGCCTCAGCTCCGCGCCAGCCGGCCTCGAGACAACGGCCGCGCACGACCGTGACGCCGCAGCGCGTGGAGGATCTGGACGCCCTGACGGGGCGAAGGACGGGGTCGCGCCTGCGCAGAACCCAGAAGCCCCGCCCAGAGCCCTTGGCGGGAAACGCGCAGGCTCAGGAGACTGCATTTCCCACAATCCTATGCGCCGCTTCCGGGGCGTCTGAGGAGCGACGGTTCGCAGCCGGGAGGTGGGAGTGTTATGTGGCAGCAGCCGCTGTGAGCGGGCTGCTTGACTGTGGGTCCTCGCACGGCGCTTAACAGGGACGTAGTAATGCTGACTGAGACATGCATAAGCTATTGACAAAAGGCTATCCACAGGGAAGGGGAAATGAGGAAATGGACAGTCAGGGAGCAAAGAGGGAGATAAGGTCTTAAATGCGTCCTACCCGGCCTGCGGAGCTGGAGTCCCAGGGGCACGGAGAGCTGGCAGAGGCCCAAGAGCAGTGAGGCCGGGAGAGACCCAGCGTCTGGCTTTATACCAAACCCGGCTGCTTAGCTACGCCCTCAGGTCCCAGCCACCCTCCCGTTGGTGGTAATGGGATTTGTCTTTCCTGTGTCTTGATGGCTTCTGTCTGGAGTGGGGTGGAGTCCACCAAGCCTGTATGGGATTAGCTCAGGACAGCCTTTCCCCCTGACAGGATGAGCAGAGGGTCAGGGAGAATGGACGGTGGGCGGGGCCCCTGAAAATGGCTGGTGGAGAACTGGTTCAGGGCTGAGTTGAAAAGGAGCTGAACAAGGACACACCGCGGGTGAACTGGTTGAAGAGTCTGTGCTAGCACCTTCTTGCCAACCTCTGCGGCCTGAGTTCCATCCTGGCCGGGTAGCTGACCCAGAGGTCAGAGCTGATCTGCCCCGTCTCCCCCACTGCCCCCCTCAGCACTGGATGCCATTACATCTGCTCCCCACCCTGTCTCCTGAGAATCCTCTCAATCCCCTGCCCAACTTTGGACCTATACCGCCATTCTGTTCTTGTTGTTGTTGTTGTTGTTGGAGTCAGTCAGTTTGGGGTGCGGGTTCCTTGGGGTCACCCTGGGAAAGGTGTCCCCAGAGCTCCCGTTTCAGTGACATGTAGCTGTGGAACCAAGCATAAGTATTCTTAGCCATTGCTTTGTCATTTTGTGTGTAACTGCCATTGTAGAATTTCAGGTCTTGCAGGTCTTGCTGTCCCAGGAAAAGACTGCATTCCAGAGATAGTTTGGACCCTCACTCCACCCTTACTCTCTGGTCACCAATGAGGGCGAACTTGCTGTAATTGGAGCTGCAGGTTGGAGCTGCATCTTGGCCTGGCCAGTCAGCTTAGAATGATAGCCGGGCAAAGTTGGAGAACGCATCCTTGTAGCCAATGAGTAAATGCCAGCATAATTTAACCTTATTAAAATACCCCTGCTTCCTTTGTTCGGGGTTCTCGGGATCTGCCACTGCGTTGGTAGGTGCCGTGAACCCGGACTCGAGTCTGAAATAAACTCCCTTTTGTGTTTGCATCAGTTGTCTTTGGGTTCTTGGAGGCTATGCTCGCCGAGTCTGCTAACCTTGGACACAACAGTAGCGAGTTTCCCAGGCACGTTTCTCCACAAGACAGAGACATTGGTTATATTTAAATGGCAGGTTTATTAGTGAAAGGGACAGAAGAATAAAGGACACTTGCATAGACACCAGCGGGCAGGAAGAGCTGCCCGAGAGAGGGCAGGTTTGCTGAGAGGCCTGCATGCCCCCAGGCAGGGTCCCTGAGGGAGCAGCCTCTGCAGAGGGGGTCAGTGAAGACAAGCCCAGCAGGTACAGGGCACCGGTAGGCAGGAGGCTGCTGCCCTGCAGAGGAGAGAGTTGGTGAAAAGAGGCACCTGCATAGTCTCAGGTGGGCAGACGGAGTGCAGCCCTGAGCCAGTGCAGAGACTGCACTGATGTAGTCTTCTGTTTGGGAGGGGCACCCCTTGTGAGCATTGGTTAGTAGCTGATTTTGGACAAATCTGCAGAATCTGAAAGGGACGGAGATTCCACAGTGGGCTCAATCTCTGTATCTTTACCTTTAGGTCTGTGCTTTAGACTCTCCCTACAGCCTGATACCAGCATGGGTCTTGTGCTTTGTAATCTAGCTGTTGTGCCTGAGGATCTTGGTTCCTATAGCTGGTCAGTGGCTGTGCTAATCCCTTCTACCTCCCCCTCCTCGAGTGAGCCAGGTTTCTGGTCTTGTGGATCCTCCTGTTCATTTTTTTTCTATTCCTGTCCTCCATCAGTTCTTGTATGAATAATTAAATGATTTTTTTTTAAATTCAGCTTTAGGGCCTCCCTGGTGGCACAAGGGGTTAAGCACCACACTATGAAGCAATCCGCAGCCTCTGCAAGATGAGTTCTATCCCCGATCGGCCAGAGAGCAACCCACATGGTGCAGCAGACCTCTTCTGACTTGCCCACTGCTCCCCTTAACAGTGTACTTTGGTCCATCTGCCTGTTCTGTTCCCCACTGTCTCTGATGAATCCTCTCACCCCCGACATTTCTGGCCTGTACCCCAGCTCTGTATGCATAAATAAATCTTTAAAAAAGTCATCTCTATTAAACATATATTAAAAGTTCACATATTGTGGGCCTCCCCAGTGGCACAGCGGTTGAGTGCTGGGTTGCAAAACACCCTGCGGCCTCTGTGGCAACGGTTCGATCCCTGCTGCTCCCCGGCCACCAGAGGAGGGTCCCACATGGTGCGCAGACCTCTCCTGCCGCCCGCTGCTCCCCTCAGCAGTGTACTTCGATCCTTCTGCCTTCTCTGCTCCCCACTCTGGCTCTGGTGAATTCTCTCACCCTCCCACGCTTCTGACTGTACCCAGTGCATGTATAAACAAACAAATAAAACAAATAAATAAATAAAAATACATGCCTCTTTAAAAAACAAAAGTTCACATATTGTCTCAATATTCAGATACCACTGTATGCTCTTTGGTCAAAATCAAGATGCAGGCATTTAAGAAGCGTTCTTGTTCTTCTGATTCCTGGACCCCACAGTTGGTGGTGAACATAGAGATTCATTACTTAGCTAATGTGCACCTACAGAATTCTATGCCCTGGGGCCTCCCTGGTGGCACAAGGGGTTAAGCACAGCCTCTGCAGCATGAGTTAGATCCCTGGCCGACCAGGGAGCAACCCATATGGTGCAAACAGAAGACTACATGAGTGTGGTTTCTGCACTGGCCCGGGGCAGCCATCCGTCTGCCCACCTGTGACTATGCAGGTGCCTCTGTTCACCAACTCTCTCCTCTGCGGGGCAGCAGCCTCCTGCCTGCCGTGACCTGTATCTGCCAGGACCTACCTTCACTGACCTCCCTCAGCGGAGGCCACTCTCCTCAAGGGCCGCTCTCCACAAGGCCAGGACTTCTCTAGAGACTTAACAGGTACAATCCTTTTCTTTTTGGGAGTGGCACTGTTTGTTGCTGATGTTGGGTAACTTGGCAAACTGAGAAAGGGGTCACGGGTTCCAGGATGGACCCAATCTCCATATCTTCACCCTCAGGCCTGTGCTCCACTCCCTAGACCATCTGATCCTGCTTGGGCCTTATGCCTTGTGACAAGGCACTGGCGCCTGAGGATCACGACCTCTACAGCTGGGTTAATGGTCCTTTTATTCCCTGCGACCCCAGGTTCTGGTCTTGGGCACCTCATCTCCAGTCTTTCTATTCTTGTCTTCCATCACAGTCATCACTTGATAATATCTCAAGTAGGATTGATGAAAAGTACGGAGAAAATATCAAAAAATATATTTATATTTATATATATATATATATATATATATATATATATATATATATATATATATATATATATATATTTGCCCCACCTTGGCAATGCTGCC